GCTATGTGGGCATGGGGGCATGGGAGACCCTCCATAGCCAGATTAGCACAATAGCCCCAATGATGAGCTCTAACATGCTGGTGATTGTGGAGACGGTCCAGGACTGGACAGTGCCTCCTTCTATTGCTTCTGTTTCCTTCTCTCACCCTCAGTTGGATTCATTTAAGGAAACTAACAACAATAATGGCATTTGTATATGTAGCCCTAATTGGTAAATAAGTTGTGTATCAGGCTGGGTTCTCCAAAGAAGCCAAACCAGTGACACTTGTATGTGTATGCATGTAGAACGCGATTATATCAAGAAATGGGCATAGAGTTGTAGAAGTGTCCAGTTTAAGAGTATCAACCGGCAGCTTCTCCTGATCCAGATGGCCACAGGGGCTGATGAACAGGCAGGAGGAAGATAAAACAGGGAAACCACACAGCGTGGTATTTGCATAGTTGAGGCAATATGACTGGAGGTCAATGAACCAGATGCAGGATCCAGACCCGGCAGTGGAAATGAGCTAGTTTCCACACCGTGTGCATTTACACTGACTGGACCACACCCCCAATGCAACATCCCCTGAATTCTTTCAAAGTTGTGGCCAGATTAAGGAGTTGTTATTCTGCCTCATTCTTCCCACAACTGCTTGGCTGCTTCACAGAAGATCCCATCATGGAGTTGACCACACTGTGTTAGCACCCATCATGGGAAGAATCCTGGTCCAGCCACGTTGGCATAAAACCTAACTATCATAGAGTATATTCTGGAAAGTATTTTCCTGGTCAGTTATTTGTAAATTAAAAGAGAATCCAGGCTGTTTCCTTCCTCAAGCCAACCATAGCAGGGTAGGTGCATATATGCTTGTGTGTGTGGATATGAATGCGGGTACCGGATGGAGGCAAGGGCAGGGAAAGAACTTTTTTTTTTTAACATAATTTTATTGGGAGCTCGTACAATTCTTATCACAATCCATACATGCACCCATTGTGTCAAGCACATTTGTACATTTGTTGCCATCATCATTCTCAAAACATTTTCTTTCTGCTTGAGCCCTTGATATCAGCTCCTCAATTTACCCCTCCCTTCCCATTCCTCCCACCCTCGTGCACCCTTGATAATTTATAAATTATTATTTTGTCATATCTTACACTGTACGACATCTCCCTTCACCCACTTTTCTGTTGTCTGTCCCCCGGGGAGGAGGTTATATGTAGATCCTTGTAATCGGTTCCCCCTTTCTACCCCACCCTCCCTCCACCCTCCTGATATTGCCACTCTCACCACTGGTCCTGAAGGGGTCATCTGTCCTGGATTCCCTGTGTTTCCAGTTCCTATCTGTACCAGTGTACATCCGCTGGTCTAGCCAGATTTGTAAGATAGAACTGGGATCATGATAGTGGTGGGGAGGAAGTATTTGCGAACTAGAGGAAAGTTGAATGTTTCATCGTTGATACCCTGCACCCTGACTGACTTGTCTCCTTCCCACGACCCTTCAGTAAGGGGGTGTGCAGTTGCCTACAGATGGGCTTTGGGTCTCCACTCTGCACTCACCTTCATTTACAGTGTAATGATTTTTTTGTTCTTTGATGCCTGATACCTGATACCTTCGACACCACGTGGTCACACAGGCCATGTAGCTTCTCTTGTTTATCTTCAATCCTTTAAGACCCCAGATGCTATATCTTTTGATAGCCAGGTACCATCAACTTTTTTCACCACATTTGCTTATGCAAAAATTTGTCTTCAGTGATCATATTGGGAAGGTAGGCACCCACTGATATGAGTTTTTGCTCTTTGATGTCTGATACCTGGTTCCTTCTACACCTTGTGGTCACACAGGCTGGTGTGCTTCTTCCATGTGGGCTTTGAAGCTTCTGAGCTAGATGGCCGCTTGTTTACCTGAAAGCCTTTAAGACCCCCAGATGCTGAAAAGTGTTTTCTTGGGGGGGGGACTAGAATTTTTTTCCCCATTCATTCCAAATCCCCGGATCAAAAGAGAATTCCTAGACCTTCTCTCATATAGTGGAGTGGCAAGGATATCTTGCCCCGGGAGCTATAATTCCTTACATTGGTTATCATCTGGAGAACCCTCAGAATAGATGATCAATAGGTTGGTGATGTGTTTTCTATTGTATTCTATTCTATTGCTGCTTTTTCTATTTTTTCGTAGAGTTAAAGACAATGCTAGTGGGCTTGCTTTTCCCCAGGCTGGGCTATGCCCTATATCCCAGGGACAGTAGGAATCCTGGTAGCATGACAGATGATCAAAATACTTTTAGGAGAAATCACAGTGATATCTGGAGCTGGAAGTTTGTTCTGTTCTCATTTTATATTATGTCAAAAATTGATCAACACATTAATCTCTTCCAATTAAGTTCATTTAACGTTAAGTATATATTATAATTTTATGGACATAGTGTGTGCTGGCTGTTAAAAATCAAATTAAAAAGCATATAATGTGAAAGAACCATCCTATCCCTCCCCTCTTCCCTCATCTGCTCTCCAAAGGTCATGCCTTCTGTCGTTAGCTCCTGCTTCTTATAGTTTCTGCCATGTCTCTAAATAAGAAGCATTATAGCTATTTCCAGATTTATCAATTTTAGATATTATTTGTTGACATCTATGAGTTCAGTTGAGCTTTGGGTCACCTACTGTACTTCTTGTCCCTGGGTGGACAATGCTTAGCTGCTAACTGAGAGGTTGGAGGTTCAAGTCCATGCACAGGTATCTCAGAAACAACAACAACCTGGAAATTTACTTGCCGACAGTCAGCCTTTGATAATCCTGTGGAGCACAGTTCAGTGGATACCCAGGGATCACTCTGTGTCAGAACTGATTCCATGGCAACTAGTTTTTAAATTGACTCCATTCTCCTAATATCATTAATAATATTACTCCTTTATTGGTTATCTTTGCAACTCAAAGTAATATATTTATACCATTCTAGCCACCATCTCCTAATTGTTTTTGTATTTCTAACCCGCTCTACCACCAGGGCTCCAACCTTTTATTATATGTCTATTGATAGTGTCAGAGCTGATGAGGTTACACTCTACTACTTGGGATAATTAAATGTTCCATGCTTTGATTATGTGCTGGTTCTAAAATTGAAAATTAATAGGATATTCAATTATTATGGCAATTTTAGGTCAGTGTGATTTCGTTTCCCTTCCCACACAGTTATGTCACTTTTTCCATTCCTTTCTTGCCACCTCTCCCCCCGCCCCCCAACACTGTATCCCGTCAGATGTAACTGGTCTGCGTCCTTTGTCTTTAGGTGGGTCTTCTCTGGGACTGAGGCTTTCAAGAGCATTCTGTACTGATTGCTCTCTATGACTCCCTCCCCTGCTTTCTACATTTGGAGGCAGTTTTCTTGCTAGGCTCCACGTCGCCTTCTTTCCCCTCATTATGACACTGCATATCCTCTAGTGACTCCCCGAGAAATGCTATGTGGAAAGTAAATTTCCCAAGCCTTTGTGTATCTGAAAACATTTTTATTTTACTTTCACATTTGATATTTTTAAAGTTATTTTGGTGTGTGTGATAATAACTGTTTTTCAAGTTAGCATGTTTTTACACATACAGTTTGGTAACATTAATTGCATTAACCACGATGTTCATGATCTTTCTTCATGACCAAGTTTCTCCTCATCATAAAGAGATAATACTTCTTACAAATGACTCCTCTTTCCTCCTTCCTGCCATTCCTGGTCACTACTACTAAGCTTTGTCTCTGTACATTTCCCTATTGTATATATTTCATATAAGATTTATTCACATTTCATTTTAAAATAATTTAAAGATATTTAAAAGTTAATAAATCTTCTGGCCTTCTATTAAAATGTTGTTCCTTTTAGATTAATATTCTTGTTTATTAATATTTTCATTTCTTTTCCTTTTTATTTCTCTTCTACTTTCTGTGATATTTTATTTTCCAACATTTATGTTGAATTTTTAATTGTCATTCATTTTTAATTTTGTAAGAGCTCTTACATGTTTCTGTTTGCATGTGTGTGTTTTAAATAACAGCTTGGTCTTATTTTAGAGATGTAATATCTTCTCGGATCACTTTGAGGATGATAACTAGGGAATTTTTCAAAGTTTCTCAGTGTCTTCTATTATTTCTGTTAGTCTCATGGTAAATTTTTTGCTGCTTATTTAGTTTTTCACCCTGTTTTTATTTTGGGGTATATTTTTCATTTCTTTTAAACTTATGTTTTAGTGGAGTCTAGGATAGAAAAGAACATAAGCACATGTGGTAAAACTTGCTTTTTAGCACAGATTTTAACCATGCAGAAGTATACTCTGTATGCCCATCGTGCTCTTGGTATATTGAAGGCTGTTAATGAACCTGCTTCAACAAGACAACTGGTTAAATTGACTGGACACCATACACACTGAGAGGTAATTGAGTAAATTTTGTACTTCTTTTAAGGTTTAGTAGATCACTTCAAGAGACAGACCAATATCAAGATTCCTTCAGCCTTCAGAACAAGTGGAAGCTTTTGGACATTCAAGCCCCTTCACTGTCTGTCTCCAGACTCATCTCCTGGCCCTCTTCTGGATTGCCCTCGTTCTGTCTACATTCACATGCTCTGCCTTGCCTGCTGCCATGTCTTTGCTCATGCTGGGTCCTCAGCCTGCAGTGGACCCTGGCTACCATCTCCTCGAGTTCATTTAAAGCCATGATCATATTTTTTGTTTCTGTAACTATTACTTTGTACCCCTTATGCCAGTGTCTATGCCTCTTGTTACTGTTGTTAGATGCAATTGATTCAGTTCTGACCCATAGTGGCCCTACACACAACCGAAAGAAACACTGCCCTGTCCTGTGCCATCCTCATAATTGTTCCTAGCTTGAGCCCATTGATGTAGCCACTGTGTCACTCTGTCTCATTGAGGGCTGTTACTTTTCTCCCTGCTCCATCCACCATACCAACATTTCCAGGGACTGTAGTCATAGCAATCAAATTACTCACCAGAGGCTTGATCCACGTGTGGGCTCTGAGTGTGGATGTTGGGTGCCCACTGTCACATGTAGCCTTCCGAAACCCAGGTGTTCACAATTTAAGCTGAGAAACCATTGCTTCCTTAAGATTTGGATTTTATCATTCACAATCCTCGGGTCACTTAGGCTGGTGTGCTTCTTCCACGTGGGCCCAGGTGTTGAGAAAGCCCCAAGAGGAAGATCAATAATGTTCTCTAACATAAAATGATAATGATGTCTCTAAAGTGAACCAGAGACATATATAAATCATAGATAAATAAATGCCTCCCTGGGAAATGGACAACAGAAAAGTGGGTTAAGGGAGATGTCGGACAGTGTAAGATATGACAAAATAATAATAATTTATAAATTATCAAGGGTTCATGAGGGCGGGGGCAGCCAGGGGGAAAAGTGAGGGGCTGATACCAGGCGCTTAAGTAGAAAGCAAAGCAGGTGGCAGGACCGAGCAGGCCTTGCTCTATTCTGCATGGAATTGCTATGTGTTGAAGTTGGCTCAATGTCACTGGACAACAACAATTAGGGTCAAGAATAGTCCAAGATTAACCTCTGTGACCTAGAGGTCAGAAACACTTCTCCAATTTTTTCCATTTCTGACATGAGCTCCCATGGACTGCTCTACTTCTTTGCTGCATTTAATAATCCATTGTGATGGCCATTCCCTACTCACAGCCCAGACTTATGTTAAGTAGTTTGTTAAAGACCAGGTACAACTTGAGGTCATGGTCAGCAGCCTACAACACAGGCCTCAGGCTTGGCTGGCTTAATGCACTTCCTTTGCTCCTTGGAGTAGAGTGGCGTTAGCATTGCATTCAAATACTCAGCTCTAACAGGGTCATTTCCCCCTTCTGGAGACTCTCTGGAGACACCTGGATTGGTTAACATTCCTCTACATTCTCATAGATTCTCAACTAATGTTCGTGCCTCACATGCCTTTTCCTATTTTGTTTTTTAAACAGATACTAATTTTGTGTTGGGGAATGCCCAGATAGTGGACTGGCCTATCGTGTATAGCAATGACGGATTTTGCAAGCTGTCTGGCTACCACAGGGCGGAAGTGATGCAAAAAAGCAGCACCTGCAGGTATTGAAGTTTGGGTTGCTTTGTCTTTCCCATGGTGTTTTTTGAAAAACGGAAAGGGTTTACTTCGTTTGGGGATTTCCTTTATCTACTCAGTGTTCAATAAGGACCATTTATTGCGACATCCCCTCTCAGCCAGGCAGTGTATAATAAAAACCAAAGAAGGTCCTTATGCATGCTCCTAAAACATTGTCACACTGGCAGTCAGTAAGACGAGGAGGAGGAAAAACCCCAAAGAGCTCAGAATAATAATTTAAAAATTGTGAATTCAAATGTCATGAAGTTTCAGATCAAATTTTAGAATATTAAATACAGTGAACCCTCGCCACTTCACGCTTCGACTTCCGCGGCTTCACTCTATCGCGGTTTTTGCGTAACAGCGCATGCTCTGTCATTACTGCCACTGATTGGCTCATACTGTACATGCTTCTGTCTGCATCGCTACGTATCGGAGCTATGTATCAGATGCATTTTTGCTTTTGTACAGTGTACTGTAATTGTTTGCGATTTTTAAGAAATTTTATCTAAGCCCTATGATGGCTCCTAAACGAGCTGCTTCTTCTAAGCCTTCTGACAATAAAAATAAGCGCCAGAGGAAGATGCTCACCATCCAGGAAAAGGTAAAACTTTTGGATATGATCAAAGATGGCAAGAAAATCGTGGAGGTTGCACGCCATTTTGACTTGAATGAGTCTTCCGTTCGCTCCATCCGTAAAGAGGAAACAAACATCCGTGCTACGGCTACTTTCACTTTCAACAAGGAAGCAAAGTGCATCGTGACAAGTCGTAATACTGTAAACTAGATGCCATAAATAATATAATAAATAATAAATGATAATTGTAACGTCCAAAATGTTTTACTGTATTTTCCCTTTTTCATTTAATAAATTGGGCAATGCGAGTGTAATGGTGACTAAAGGGTGTTTTTTCATGTCCTCTATGCTCTAACTACGAAAATATTTGATTTACAAATAAGGAATCCTACTTCGCGGAATTTCATTTATCACGGTAGGGTCTAGAACCGATTAACCGCGATAAACAAGGGTTCACTGTACAATGAAAAACTGGACGATTAAATTGATTTAAAGAAACATCGAATACTTCAAAAGAAGAAACAACGTTTTGAACCCAACGGACTTGGTGATAGCGCTTATCCTCAGCCAAGATTCCTTCATCAGAAACACAGAAAAGAGAAGCAATATTTAGCTGTCCTTTGATTTATGCTGTTACTCCTCTCTGATCTCTAATTCAAAGGCAGAGGCAAATCGTGCTCACAGTGTGGCTTGTGTATCTGGCAGGGTTACTAACCAAGAAGGACCCTTGGGGCATGGTGTTGGAAAAGCTCTTTCAAAGCCTCTGCAGGTGCTGAGTGGCTTATGGAGCGTAGCTCCACCAGCGATTATCCCTGAAGGGCCTGGCGAGGGCTTGCTCAGCCTGGGCGTTGGCTGCGCTCCCTCCTGGCCTTCTTGAGAGTTTTCTGACGTCAGTGGCAGTTGCAGGAAGTGGAGTCCTTTTCCCAAACCCTCCACATCAGGGAATTAACACGGCAGAGAAGCCTGCCTGGCCCAGGTGTGGCCTTCTGTTTTCAGAAGTTGTACTTTCATGGTATTACCCCAGGAAGCTTGGTGAGAAGTATTAAATGGGTCAGAAATGCTTCTATCTCATTAATGTTCAGATTTGGGGAGACTAGGAAATGCTCAAAGCTGTAGCAAATGGAACTCTCAAGTAATGCAGTAGAACACTGTTGTTTTCTTGAAGTGTTTTTGTCCTCTTCTGTATCTATAACCATCTCTGTTTCTCTTTCTCCATCGGCATCATTAATGACTTATCTATATCATGTATAAGTACTTAGATCGTGCGTGTACAATCACTCATATGCCCCCGGTAGCAGAGTGGGTTATGCATTGGGTTAACCGCAAAGTCAGCAGATCGAAATCACCAGCTACTTTGAGGGAGAAAGATGAGGGTTTCTACTCCTGTCAGGAGTTAATCTTGAAAATCCACGGGGGCAGTTCTACCCTGTCCTGCAGGATTGCTGAGTCAGCATCGACTCGATGAAGTGAGTTTTGGCATCGATAGTGCATAATCTATGACATTTATATGTTCTAGACATATCTGCATATGTATCATCTGTGAGGTAGCTCTCTATTTGTAGCTATATAATCTATGCTATATCTATTTCTATCTCTGTGATAGATCTAAATATCTTTATGCATATAATCTGTGATACATCTGTCCATGGTATATTTTTTAATCTATTTATACACACGCATATGCACACACACACATCTCATCAGAACAGATCTGGCAAGTTCGCCTCACTATTTAGTGGTCCTGAGCACCCCTTCCTATTCTCTCATGCTTTTGGTTTGCTATAAGCAGACACTAAGGGAAGCAGGTAAAGTAACTTGCTAATTTAGCCAATTTTGCCATTACAATTCTTTGTAACTTATTTATTTGAGAATAGATTCATTTCCTTCTCCAGGAGGAAAGTGAAAACACACACACACACACACACACACTCACTCAAACACTTGTGCTGGCTAAATTCCTAATAATTCTGAAACCCCCTTTACCTACCTGTTGCCTGGCTGGCATTTAAAATCAGATGTCCAGGCAAAGGCAATCCACACCTACCAGTTGGGAACTACAGTGTTCTAAAGCCATCAGACTGAGGAGAGCGGGGTGCAATGACAGCACTCCTGGTCTTGGAAGATTCAGCTTTACGGGATTTGTTTAACCTTGGAAGGAAATTGGTAGCATAATTGCGATCACTTCACTTACTCAGCCAATGTTCCCAGACAGAGAAGCGGGGAGGATGTTAAAAGCCTTCTGAACAACTGGCTAAATCAACTGATAATAGTTTAAGTTTTTAACTCCTAGGAGAAGTCAATCTCGTTTCCCAGGGAGGGCTGATTTAGGCGTCATCTGCTTTTCTTTCTTGTGTAAGATAATTTGCCAAGCTTGGTTGTCTGTTTCCCTGGTTTTATGTGTAAAAAGCACAGCCCAGCAGCAGGGTGGTCCACAGGGATGGTGCCAGCCGTAAATAATAACGTCTCTCAGGGGCCTGGGAAGGGACAAAAAGTAACTCAAGATTTCTAAAGTCAACAGCTAGCGTGCTGTTGATTTAAGGAGTGCTGACACTCAAAGCAGTCATGAGCCACATGTGTTCCTGTATCAAGTGGTGGTTCAGTTTTGGACAGGATTGCACTGGACAGCCTCTGAAATGCCTTTTTTCTCAGAAATTCTATGACGAGTGATCAAGAAAAAAGTTAGATGGTATGTGGTGTGCTCTGGGAAGTGTCTTGTTCAAATGCCATACCACTTTCTGAAGTGGCCCGAGACTTGAGGAACCAGTGTTACTGTCCTTTCTTGGCATTGTAGGGCTCAGCATGGGCAGCCTTCATGAACAGCTCAGACTTCCCAGCCTGTTGAGAGATGGCCCTTATCCTCTTGCATGTGACCAGAGTCGTGTGCCACGGTTTATTGTATACACGGTGGGGGTGGATCTTGTCTCCAGATGGATACACCTTTGTCTCTAGAACATTTCTCTAATTCCCTGTGGAGCCCAGAAAGAGGAATCATCCTGGCTATTTCCTTATTCTGCCCCAAACCAGTGTTTATGGGTAGGTGCATCTGCTATCCAGTGATTGGCTGCCCCCCCTCTTTTTTTAATCATGCTTTGTCTTTGCTGCATTGTCTAATTTTCTCCAAACTTGAGCAGTAGGCAGGCACATTCATAAGAATTTGTAGGATTTGTTATCTCAATTGTTTTTTGTTGCTGTTGTTGAGGTGGGGGTGGGTTTGGAAAGGGATAGACTATGGAACTTCACCTGTCGTGGTTGAATTGTCAGTCCCTTCCATACCTGTTTCTTAATGTGTACTGGATAAAATTGTACCCCTTTCTTTGGTGAATTTTTGACACCCCCTCCCCATGCCCCGTTCTCATTTCTTGTTGATTTTCTTGGGAAATAGCAAAGAGGGGAATGAAAGCCCAGATTTCCTCGGTGGCCCACATTCACCAGGAGGAGTCCTGGAATTGCATTTCTAAAAGGTGTGTCCTGTTCCTTAACTCCTTTGCTGCAAGCCCCCCAAGGTTTCCCTGTGGCTTTCAGAATAAAATGTAAATGACCTCACATGGTTGCCATGGTCTCCCCTGCCCCCCTCTACCACCCCCAGACTTTCCATACCTTTCTCCAGTGTCTCATTCCTTCCCCTTAGTCTTTATTCTACTTATGTAAAACCGAACTCTTGAGGCTCTGGGAGTAACAGTGTTCTCACCTCTGTATCTTTGCATCTGTTCATCTTTTGCCTGGATGTTCTTTTCCCTCCTTTGCACAGTGAATGTCCACCTGCTCATTCAATGTCCCTGCTGTTTGGGGAATCGTCTCTGGTCATTCAAGACAATGTTCCATGGCCTTTCTGTGTGTTCAGTAGCTCTTTATGTGTAACAGCGTGGATCATGCTGCTTTCTAAGGGTTAACATGCATCTCTCATTAGACTACTAGCTTTGGGGAGGATAGGGATGGAATTTCGCTCACAGTTGAAACAATACATCTTTTTTGGGGGTGGGGGGAGTAAATAAATGTTTTCATTCTCTCTGTGTATGTGTATTTCCTAGTGTTGAGCACAATGCTGGGTAAAGAAGAGATATTGAACATACACTTGTAATAAAAGAAAATCCCTGGTGGCACAGTGAGTTAAGTACTGGGTTGATTATTATAAGGTTGGTGGGTCAAGCCCAAGAACTACTTGGCAGGAGGAAGATAAGATTTTCTGATCCTCCACAAAGCCTCTGAGGAGCCCCCAAAATCGACTTCCGCCTAGGCGGGGCAGCTCCTGGAATTCCCCCAGGACAGTAGTTCTAGTAGCAAAATTATAGTTATGAAGTAGCAACAAAAATAATGTTATGGTTGGAAGTCACCACAACATGAGGAACTGTATTAAAGGGCCGAGGCCTTAGGAAGGTTGAGAACCACTGCCCCAGGGCCAGGGGGTAGATTCTAGTCATAAAGGTCAGCAGACCTTTATGTATGTTTTTCCCCGTAGTTATTATTATTATTTCTCTTTTTATTTAATCTTTTGTTTTCTTTTTGTTTTGTCTCCATTACGTATTGTTGGTTTTGCCTACCTACATAAGGTAAGCATGGGAAGCAAGCTTGAGGAGGAAGCAACTGGACTGACAGTTCTGGGGGGACTGTGGGAAGGAGGAGCGGGGGAAGGGAGTGGTGAGCAAACAATGCCATAGACAAGGGAAAAACTAGGGAATTAAAATCAACATGAGGAGGATGTAGAGATCTTGTGGGTGTTGGAGCAACAGCAATCTAGCTGAGAGGAATTACTAAGAGGCAGAAGAAGGGCGAGCATGATGGTGGGAAAGAATGGAGGTAAAAGGAAACAGATGTATAGATGTGCTTTACACAATTGATCTATGTATTGTGACGAATTGTATGAGCCCCAATAAATTGATTAAAAAAAAAAATTATCTAGGGTTCATGAGGGAGGGGGGAGCAGGGAGGGAGGGGAAAATGAGGAGCTGATACCAGGAGATTAAGTGGAGAACAAATGTTTTGAGAATGATGAGGGCAATGAATGTACAAATGTGCTGTACTCAATAGATGTATGTATGGTGATAAGAGTTGTATGAGCCCCTAATAAAATGATTTAAAAAAAAAAAAAAAAAAAAGGAAACAGGAAAGATTTAGAAAGCAAAGCTATGGATAGAGGTATAAGCATAGGTGTGTACATATGTAAATACATTAATTCCTAAAAATAGAGGTATTGGCTTATGTACATATATTTATATGGCAATACACTGAGGGAGTGGAAGGGCTTTGGGTGTCTGCTCATTCCCTCCCTCAATACAAGAACACTTTGTTCTGACAAGCTGGCATACTGTGATGCTCACCCTCCCAGCACAATTGCTGAAGACAAAGCGGGTGCATAAGAAAATGGGGCGAAGAAAGCGGATGGTGCCCAGCTATCAAAAGATGTAGCATCTGGGGTCTTAAAGGCTTGAAGTTAAACAAGCGGTCATCTAGCAGAGAAGCAACAAACCCACATGGAAGAAGCACATCAGCCTGTGAGATCATGAGATGTCAACAGGATCAGGTAATAGGCATCAGAAGACAACAAACAAATGACAACATCAAAACATATTGTTTAGAACAAGGAGGGTCGGAGCAGAGACCCCCAAATCCATCTGTAGACAATGGGATATCCCCTCACAGAAGGGTCTAAGGAAGGGATGAGTCACACAATGAAACACCCATGAAACATGCAATATTCCTCTGGTTCCTTGAGGCTTCCTCACCCTCCACTATCATGACCTCAGTACTGCCTTTCACTGCGGGCTAGACTCGAGCATATGCACAGGTACAGATAAGAGATAGGAGCTGACGACACCCAGAATTCAGGAACAGGAATGGGAGTAGCAATACTAGGAGGGTAGGGGGCAAGATGGGAAGTGAAGGGGAGGAAGGGGGAGCCGATCAGAATGATGGACACATAACATGCCCCCCCCCACCACCAAGGGGACGAACAACAGAAAGCATGGGGGAAGGGAGACAGAGGTTGGTGTAATATATGAAAATAATAATAATTTATAATTTATCCAGGGTGGGAGGTGGGAGGGAGGGGCAAGAGAAACTGATACCAAGGGCTCAATAGAAAGTGAATGTTTAGAAAATAATGATGGCAAATATGTACAAATATGCTTTATACAATTGATGTATGGATTGTTATAAGAGCTGTGAGAGCCCCAATAAAATGATCTTTTAATAAAAAATTAAAATAAAATAGCAACAACAACAAAAAAGATTTTCTGAGCCTGTAAAAATGTCCTGCTTTGGAAAACCCATGGTGCAATTCTGCCTTCCCTATAGGGTTATGATGAGTTGTAATTTACTTGATGGCAGTGGGTGGGTTTTATAGAGCTATAAATACTCACTAATCTAACTGGAATACTTTGGTTGATTTGTAGTTTTATGTACGGGGAGCTGACTGATAAAGACACAATTGAAAAGGTCCGGCAAACCTTTGAGAACTATGAAATGAATTCCTTTGAAATTTTGATGTACAAGAAAAACAGTGAGTATTCACATTATTCAACACTGTTTCTTTATATGCTTGGAATAATAAAATAGCTTTCCTCTTTCTGTTCCTGTTTTTCATATTTCTTCTTTCCCAACATCTAAGTAGTGTTACTTGAAGCCATTGTACATTTGGGAAAAAACCCCACTATGGATTAATCAGTTATGCTGTTCCTGATAGAAATGTTTTATAAAGTTATTGTTACTAAATGCTATGGATTCAATTGAGTCACCCCCAAATATATGTTTTAAATCCTAACCCATTCCTGTGGTTAAAATCCCATTTGGGAGTGCATTATGTTTGGTAATGAAGACATAGGATTAGAGTAGGATTTATTTTGAGTCAATAGTTTGTGGGGATGAAAGAGATTACATAAGTGAGCCGGCCGAGAGGAGGAAAGAATGATTATTATGCGACATGAAGCTAGTCCAGGAGCAGCAACTGAGAAGAGACGAGACCTTCCTTCAGAGCTGACAGAGAGAAAGCCTCGCCCTAAAAGCCAGCCTCCCGTATTCGGATTTGTAACCTCCTAAAGAATGTAAACTAAATTTCTGTGTTAAAGCCACCCACTTGGGGGATTTCTTTTTGTAGGAGCACTAGATAACAAAGACCCCAACTAAGACTTCTTTCTTGCTACCAAGAATTAGGGCTTTTCCAGTCCATTTACTTACAGTGAGCGGTTGACTTAAGGTGCTTGTAGACTTTCAGCCACCTGGGAGGGAGGGAGGCGATGGGACAGAACCCTGTTTAATTCATCTTTGAATCTACCTTCCACAGCATCTACCATGGAGGTAACATCTGTAGGTGTCCAATGAAAAGCGTTTGAATGAAAATTTGTTCTCCTAGTGACAAGAGCTTCTCCCTCAGAGGCTAGTAATGGTTATTATTAGCAGTAGTGCATGGTTAATTTGTTTGTTTTGGCTGCCATTATTTCCACCTAAATATGTTGATGAAACAGTCTAAGCCTTGCTTTTCGGTTGGGAATTCACTAGTGAATGGGGGTGCTGTATGCTGTACTGTATTACTAGAAAGGAGCATACGCATTTTAGTGCATTGTTGGTCGGTGCCATCTCGTCGGTTCTAGCTCATAGTGACACCATGTACAGCAGAAAGATGGTGCCCTGTCCTGCACCATCCGTATATTGTTCTCAGGCTTGGATCCATTGTGGCAGCCACGGTGTTAAACCATCTTGTCAAGGACTTCCATCTTTTCCCATGCTCCTCCATCTTACCAAGCATGATGGCCTTCTCCAGGGACTGGCCTCTCCTGACAGCACGTCCAAAGTATCTGAACTGAAGTCTCGCCATCCTTGCCTCTAAGGAGCATTCTGACTGTACTTCCAAGATAGATTTGTTTGTTCTTTACATAGTCCATAGTACTTCTCAATATCCTCACCAGCACCATAATTCAAATGCATCAATTCTTCTTTGGTCTTCCTTGCTCACTGAGTTAGTTTATTGTGCCAACCTGGCCGATAAACACATGTGGGGTTAATTGAAGGGCGGAAAGATAAATGGCTCAGAGAGTCTCACCTTTCTAGTTCTTGGGTCTCTTGCTTTGTGATGGTTGCACCAGGGTGCAGCTGCCTTAGCAGTTCTCTGCTTCAGTTTGCAAGACTGACTTCCTACAAGACATCCCTGAGGAGAAGCCACATGGACCTGCCCTGATGTATCCCTGGGTGCTGGAGCAGCCATGTGGAGACCCCTGCCAGTGCTGAGATGTTTACACATTCACTGACTCAGCTTCCCTCCTGCATTCGGCATCATTGCCTCTGTTTTGTGAGATGGAGGAGGACTTTGTGGACTGGTGTTGGACATATGGGTTAATGGGTTAATGTTGGACTTGTGGGCTTGGGTAGCACTGGGTTGGAATGTTTTCTTGATGCACACTTAACCTTTATATAAAACTCTCTTTTATACATGAGTTGCTGTGGATTTGTTTCTCTAAAGTACCCAGACGAAGACATTTTACTATCTAACTTTCACAAGCTTATGAGACAATTGAAAATCCCATGGCTTGACTCAGGCACACCTTAGTCCTCAAAGTAACCTCTTTGCTTTTCAATACTTTAAAGGGTTCTCGTGCAGCAGATTTACCCACAGCAATGCATTATTTGATTTCTTGTCTGCTGCTTCCATGAGCATTCATTGTGGATGCAAGCAAGACAAAATCTTTGACAACTTCAATCTTTTCTCCATTTATAGAGATGATATGCATTGGTCCAGTGGTGAAGACGTGGGTTTAATTTACAATGAGATGTAATCTATATGGAAGACTGCAATCCCTGATCGTCACCAGCCAGTGCTTTAAGTCCTCCTCACTTTCAGCAAGCAAGCTTATGTCATCTCCATAGCCCAGGTTGTTAGTAACCTTCCTCCAGTCCTGATGCCACATTTGTCGTGTCACCCAGCGTCTCTGAGGATTTGCTCGCACACAGAGTGAATAAGGGTGTGAAAGAGCTCACACTGCCTTTTGATATGTGTTCTCACAACTCCCTTTTGATCCATGTCGATGAGCGCAAGGAAGTGTTCTGGAATTTCCATTCTGCTCAAGATTATCCATAGTTTGTTATGATCCAGCCAGTCAGATGCTTGGGCATGATCAATGAAGCACAAGTAAACATCTTACTGATATTTTCTGCTTTCCACCAAGATCCATCTGACAGCAGATGTTCCAATTGTTCTTTTGAATCCAGACTGAATCTCTGTCACATCACTGCCAATATACTGCTGGAACCATTGTTGGATGATGTTGAGTGAAATTTCACTTGAGTGTGATATTAATGATATTTTTCTATAAATTATGCATCCTGTTGGGTCGTCTTTCTTTGGAATGGGTACAAATATGACTCTCTTCCAGTTAGTCAGTCAAGAAGTGGTCTTCCAGATTTCCCAACATAGACAAGTGCTTCCAGTGCTTCATCAGCTTGTTTAAACATTTCTACTGGTATGCCACCAATTCCTGGAGCCTTGTTTTGGCAAATGCTTTCAGTGCAGCTTGATCTTCTTCCACCAATACCATTGGTTCTTGGCCATGTGCAACCTCCTGAAATGGTGGAATGTCAACTAGGTTTTTTGGGTACAGTGACTCTGGGTATTCTTTCTGTCTTCTTTTGATGCTTCCTGCATCATTCAACATTTTGCCTGTAGAATATTTCAATATTGCAACTTCAGGCTTGAAATTTTTCTTGAGTTCTTTCATGGCAAGGTGGTTCTTCCTTTCTGCATTTCTAGCTCAGGGCTGTGCACATGTCATTGAAATGTTTACTTTGACTTCTCGAAGTGCCCTTTGAAAATTTCTGTTCAACTTTTTGACTTCATTTCTTCCACTTGCCTTAGCTACTCTGCAATTAAGAACAAATTTCAGAATCTCTTCCAACATCCATTTTGATCTTTTCTTTCCTGAGGTTTTAATGACCTTTTGCTTTTTTCATGAATAATGTTCTTGATCTCTTCCCACAGCTCATCAGTTCTTGTTATTAATGTTCAATGTTTCAAATCAGCTTTTAACTTGTTCTCAAAATTCAGGTGGGATAAACTCAAGGTTGTATTTTGGCTCTCATGGACTTGATTTAATTTTCTTTAGCTTCAACCTGAACTTTTATATGAGAAATAGGTGGTATGTTCCACCATTAGCCCCTGGTATGGTTTTAGCTGCTGATAGTGAATTTCTTCACCATCTCTTCCCACAGATGTAGTCAATTTGATTTTTGTGTATTCCATCTGGAGAAGGCTATTTGTTTAGGCACTGTTTATGTTGTTGAAAAAAGGTAGGTGATATAAACAAGTCCTTGGCCTTGCAAAATTTTATCATGTGATCCCCAGCTTCATTTATATCACTGTGTCCATATTTTCAACTACTGTCTCTTCCTTTTTGTTTCCAGCTTTTGTATTCCAATCGCCAAACATTATCAATGGATCTTGATCGCATGTTTGATCATTTTCCTACTGAAGGCTTTGGTAGAAGTCTTCAATTTCATTACCACCTTTCGTGGTTGGTGCATACATTTGAATAATGGTTGTGTCGATTGCACTGCCTTGAAGGCAGAGAAATACAATCCTATAACAGACAGCGTTGTACTTCCAGATTGATCTTGAGGTGTCCTTTTTGATGGTAAATGCAGTGCTTTTTTTTCTTGATTGTGCCATTCCCAGCAAACCATATGATTCTCTGATTCAAATTGGTAAATACCAGTCCATTTCAGCTCACTAACGTCCAGGATATTGGCATTTTTTGTTCCATTTTTATGTTTGATGATTTTCAACTTTCCTAGAGTCATACTTTGTATATTCCAAGTTCCATTTATTAATTGGTGCTGGCAGCTGTTTCTTCTCACTTTCAGTAGTGCCCTACCAGCAGAGGAAGGGCTGGAACGCTTTACTTTCTCCAGCTTTACTCCACTCACATCATCAGGACGACTCGCCTTTGAGAAGGCAGCTCTTCCTCCCTCATAGCTTGAGTGACTTCTGTCCTGAGGGGTTCATCTTCTGGCGCTATCTTGGAACATGTATTGCTTCTAGTCATTATGCCTTCAGTAGCTGACAATATTTTGATGTTATTCTTAAGGTTTTCTGTGGCTAATTCCTCAGAAGTGGACAGCGGATCCCTTCTTCCCAGTCTGATCTTAGTCTGGAAGCGCTGCTGAAACCTGATTGTGTTGGGTACTCTGCTAGTGTTTGAAATGCCAGTGACATAGCTTCCAACATCACAGAGCACTGAAGTCACCACAGATAGACAAACTGACAGTTAAGTGGTGGATTAGGAGCATGGAGACTAGGGCCCTGGTTGTAGCAGAACTGCAGAGGTGTTGAAAAGTGCTTGTTTCTGTCTTACAGATGCAGCCTGGTTTGTAAGGGATTTTGTTATTTCCATGTAGGATTGGCTGATAGGCAAGCGATTCAACATTTCCAGAGTGGCCCACATGATACATAAGGATATGTGATTATCTTGGTGGCGTACTTGCCCGAGTGCCAAGACGTTGGCTCTGCAGAGCAAA